TTCTGTCAGCATTCTAATAGCATTCTGTTAGCATTCTGTTGGCATTCTATTAGCATTCTGTTAGCATTCTATAAGCACTCCTTCAGCATTTAGTTAGCATTCTGTTAGCATTCTGTTAGCATTCAAATTACCTTCACCTTGACAAAAATCAGCAGATCTGAGATTTCTTGGCAGATTGTAAGAGTTTTTGCTTGTTCTACACGTACACAGCGACTTAATGTAGTGATAAGGTTTCTGTACGGGAAAATACCATGCCTTGGGTACACCATAATTACCTGCATATTGTACATTAACATGTCAGAACAACAAACATCTCACAATTTTTATATACACTGCATGATATTGGAAGAAAAATTTAACAATGATTCCATTCCCTGTAGCAATATATAAACAATTCTGTTACTGTAAAATATTTTATTTTCGCTTCAAATTAATTTTCGCTGAAGGAATGATTCAGTTAAAATAAAATCCAGCGAATATACCTTTTTTTCCTATGTTTTACATCCAACTCATCAAAAATCAGTGAAAATAAATTCCATACAAAACACCCAAAAAAGCTAAAATAAAATATTTCACAGTACTGTTACAATGATTGGAGAAAAGCTAAAGTTGTAATTAACCTGAATAAATTAATTAAATTATCATATTATTATTATTATCAAAATACCTGGAAATACAGCCTCTATATACCATATTAATATTATATACATTATGCAATCACAAAACATTATAAGCATAACATCGGCCATTGTCAAGTCTTCATTGAAAGGGGGCCAGGGTTCATTAACATTCGACCATTGTAGACCTATAGCTTGTCTCTCGTAAAAGTGAGCATAACGCAAACCAAGACCATAGGCAGATGGAGATGCAAGGCACTGAAAAAAAAATGAACCAGTATCTAAAGTAGGTATGTGAGAGATAAACATGTAAAAGAAAGTTCACTGATCATCACGTTACTGTAAAAGCTATCACAATTCACTGATCATCACTGTAAAAGTAATCACAGTTTACTGATTATCACTGTAAAAGTAATCACAGTTTACTGATCATCACTGTAAAAGTAATCACAGTTTACTGATCATCACTGTAAAAGTAATCACAGTTTACTGATTATCACTGTAAAAGTAATCACAGTTTACTGATCATCACTGTAAAAGCAATCACAGTTAGCAGTACAGTATGTGCATTTCAAGTGAATTATAAAATTCCCTGCTGGACTTTTGTCACTATTTTTTTTGCAGTATTCTTATACATGTAGATGTGTCGCCATATACAATAACCTTTCAATACATGTTGGAACTAATTTTCACAAAATATTAATTTTTTATACAAAAAGCTATTGTTCACTTATTTTTAGACAATCGTTGTGGCGGGTCATGTTCGATATGGGTCCCATGCCACCTATACACTGCATGTAAAATATATCTGTTTGTTTAAATGCGGCCTCTAAACTATGTGAACACCAATCACAAAATAACGCAACTTACGGTATTAGTACTTGCATGCAACCTTTCAAATGAATCAGGCAATATATTAGTGAGGAAGCGACATGATTGGTAAAATGAGTTTAATTTTGAAATGCCATCCAGACAGTAAAAGTCAGTCATAAATTATATAGATGAACCACTTAATTTTTGAAGCTGGAAAAGTTTGCAATTTCCAAGGACAAACATGAAATGTTCATTGCAAGAAAATTTCATGACTGTGTGACAGCCAAAAAAATGACTTTTAAATTTATGATATTCTGTGGAATTTGGGGTTGAATTCAAATTTTGCAACAATGGAGCATGTTATTGCACATAAACGCAATGCATTATGGGGGATGTCACACTTATCACACTGGAAACTGAATAAATTACGAGAGAAACAAATTTTTGAAATATAAATTCATATAAATAATAATATTACATATTTTGACCCCAAAATACACTCACAATACACTTTAATTATATCATTGAGTCTATTAATACTAGTATATGTGTTTTACATGTATGTGAAGATTTAATGAAATTGGTCAATGCATTGCCAAGAACACGCAATAACATGATCATAGTATATTTTGAACCAAAAATTATATTTTTTACCTTAAAAAATCCCAGAAAATGTGCTTAGCCACATTACACTAAACAATTTGTCCAAAAAATTTTGTTCAAAACAGATAATGCGAGTTATGATTAGACACTGACAGACGGACACACACACGGACGGACGGACGGATGGACAGAGCCCCTGTCTAGGACTGTGTCCTGTGACGGGGACTAATGAAAACATGAAGCCAAATCGTTGTATATATTGACAAAAAAAATCAATAAATTTTTTGTTAATTACAGCACATTTACATAGTGACTTACCGAGATAATCTTTTGTAATCGCGACACCGTTTTGAAAGCTGAGTTTTCTTGGTCTTGGATAAACCAAAATGGTATGTTGCAGAGCAGATAGATGATGCCAGCACAAGCTGCTCCTAACTTAGCTTTCGAGAAGAAGACACTGACTACAAAACTGAAAGAGATATAGATAACATGATATAGATAATTATTCACACATTTTGAGAAAATATGGGGGGAAAAAAATTCACAAATTTGTTTTGTGAAAGACAAATGTTTATTTTAATAGACATTCAAATGGTCAAAATGTTTTTTCAGCTTCTAGCGTTGTAGGGAGGGCCCCCTCAACCAAGTCGTATGATTTTCCAGCATCTCGTATTCGTAATAGTTTAGGGTTGGACTTAAAAGTAAGTTAGGGTGGGTTATCTAAACCATTTTTTTTTCTGTGGGTATAAAATGCACTAAAGGTATGCACCAACAAGTGTGTGGAACAATCAATAATTTTTTTTTTCTCAAAGGAGCTTTCGAAAATATTACACAGTATCGTGGTGCATGTAGGTCAGACTTTTGTCCTTGGATTATTTATAAATTTAATTTAAGTATTTGTAATTTTGGTGGATGTGATTCAGTCAACAATTGGAAAATCATTGATCCAAGTAATGTACGAGACTTGCATGTGGCATTTGCCAAAAATAACACCATGTCCCAACAAATCACTGATGCATAAATGGACATGGCTTAATAACAGTTATCACCTGATTTAACTGGTTCATTGGTTCATACAAGTAAAATCATGTTCAAGCACTGAAGGTAAGTAGAAAATACAACTCTATATCAGGGGGTTTTCTAAACCGGGGAAGAGGGGCGCAGCACCTTGATACTCGGCTGGCGTCCTCTTACTGAATTGCCGATTGAGCTTTCAAGTCATAAATATATTTCTTGAGCCGTGCACTTCCGTGCTGACGTACAACATGAAATCTTTCTCAAATATATTTTTCTCTGTGAAAACTTCCCAGCAACACCCGATGACAATGTGTCTGGACACCAAATACACTAAAATTACTCCAAAAATATTTTAATGGCGATGGATACACAGATAAAACAGCACAGAAACCTTCCGATATGGCGTTTCCAGGTTGATCCGCCATGTTGTTTCTGTGCTCGCTGTGTCAATCCGCTCCCTCGCTGGTGTGTGCTCCCTCTTGTTAATTTTTTCTAGAAAAACCCTTGCCATATGACACTATAAATACCAAATAAGTGATATCAGACATCATAAATTTTTTCCTGTGTTTTCTTACCAAAATAGCAAAGTGCAGACAGCATAGAGCATATTATACAACCAAAACAGGAAAGCATCGGTATAGGCAAACACGCGGCCGTATTTCAATATAAAAACCAGGAGTGTGGTGCTGACTGTCATCTCAACAAAACCAGTTATAAACCACGCAACCCAATGCACTAGGTTATTCAAACCAGCTATTTTCATCATCTACGAATAAAGATATATAAAATCATTAGTTCATTAAATACTGGGAGCATAATAATTGTGGAAAACGTATTTTAAACATACCCTGCTAACTACTTCAATTTTCAATTCCATGAGCCAGGAAAATTGAAATTTCAGTATAACATTTCCCACATTTTCATGTCCTAATGTTTACTCAAATCAACATAATTTTGAATTGTTACAGGTCTTGATCAAAATATGCAAATTATAAAGTTTAATTATTTTGTAAAACAACAGACTTTTGAAATACACAGTGATCAAAGGATAAAGACAAGAAGTCATGAAAACCTTCCCAAAATGCTGTTGCTGCTAATGCCTTTATAAAATCCCGAAATTACAGTAGATTTGAAGAAACATTTTTGATGTTGAACCCCAAAGAGGATTTAAACTATGGTATTAAATAAGAGGAAAGATAGCTACAAGATTTCAATATGCAAATCACACTAAATGGCAATGCATCTGATCAGCTCTGCGAAATCGCTCTTTTTGACAATCTTAATTATTCTGGCACATATATTCATAGGATAGGATTATATTTTGGGTTTATTCAAGTGTTAAACCAAACTATCAGTGACAGTTCATCCTTTCAAAGCAGACAATATCTATCTAAGATGTTAGCACATAGGATATATGAACACATGAGATGGCCATCAAATTAAATTTTCCATGATGTACTGGTGGAATCCAAGAAATTCAAGAGCCACGTTTTAACTCAAAATCATGGGCTCACAGCAATAACCTTTTGTCCCACCACCAGCAACCAATGAATCAACAATTATTACTAGTATTTTAAATGGATTTATAGTACATGTACCTCCTTTAGCTTCTGCTCTTTTTCATATACAATTGACTGTGTCACCAAAACCACATAGTACAACCACCCCAGCAACAACATCATGTTCGTAAAACGACCCATTTTGTGCAGAAATCTGGAAATAGAGAGAATTTTTTCTTATTTTGAAATCATCGGTAATTCATGAGAGACAGCAATTTACGAATGTTGCAAGTGAGGGAAAATGGGGACTCAAGATATTTATTCTTCACAAACATTTCTAATTGATCTTGTTCATAAAATGACCACCAAGATCTCTTTAAGAGCAAGAGAGTCATAAGACTTGGTTGTGCCCCTCGATTAGTGTTCCATTCCCCCCTAGTCATCGCGTCTACTGTTCCAAATACTGTAAAATACTTTATTTTAGCTGGAATAAATTTTCACTAAAAAAGACTTTTGAGTGTTTTCTATGGAATTTATTTTCACTGATTTTTGACAAAATGAACGTAAAATATAGGAAAAAATGCATATTCAAATTGATTTTTTTTTCAATGAATCTTTCCTCGGCGAAAATAGCGAAAATTAATTTCAAGCGAAAATAAAATATTTGACAGTAGCATATGGTTACATTGTTCAGCAGAATGGTGGATGTGATGGGAGAATAGACAATATTTGGAGACAAAAACAAATTCTTTACTTCTCAATGAGATCTGGACGGCCATTTTGTGAATTATGTCTGTTATCAATTCCAAAAAGTAGAGGATAAACTTTACATAAAACACAACATCAACATGAGTTTTAAATTGTCATACAGGCTTTACTTACGGATCATTTACATGACATGGATAGGGAAATTCCTGTATATAGTTTCCTGGCTCGGTGATATTGTGTCCAACTTTCTTCTCTATTATAGCGCGATCTACCAAGTCCTGTAACCATGGAAATATCATTAAACCGAGTTTTGAGTTCAGATAGTCCAGAAGTTTTAAAGTTCTGACTATGATTTTTCCTAGGGGTCCATCTTGGGTCAAGTTCAATTCCATTCTATCGATAATCAACTTCGGAAGGTCACCCAAGGTAGTGTCATTCAGATCTAGACCAAACATCATAACTAGAAGACAAAGAAAGCAATCATTTTATGATCTATGTGACACAGATAGCGTACAGACAATAAAGATTATATTACACTCAAAACTATAATACCTGTGAGTAGCATTTCAGTAAGTTGTTGTGATTCCCAAAAAACCCTACAGCCTGAAAACCCGAATTACAAAAGTATTTCAATACCACAATAGTTATGACAAGCTCATTTCAATAAGTAAGCAAATCTGAAACAAGCCGCCCATTTTAAATCAGAATTTTAAATTAATGCTTTCCATATGTGTGACATAATGTAGTAATCAGTAAAGGTATGTCAGAGATACAGCTCTGAAAACGCCATTTTAAACAAAATGGTCGCCCAATGGCCATTTGAATCTGATCGGAAAAACACAATGATGTGAAAATCTTGCCATGCACGATCAAGATCTTGTTCTGGAAATGGTGAAAATGCTCAATATTTTGATTTTAAACATTTAATAGCAGTCTTCTCGAATCAGGTCATCAAAAAAATACATCTTCCTATGTATCCCAAGATGCAACGCTATACATGTAGATGTATGGTTTCTATACAGGTAGGATGCTTGAATGGATGGATGCATAGAGGTCAATCCATAAGTCACTCATTTTAGACTGCATTCAATCAGGAATTCATTGCAAGATGTAGACTTTAAGACACAGCTGTTATTTTAGCTACATACAAGAAGAAACTTAACATGTATAAGAATATAATTTTTTCAAAAGTGTGTAAACCCAACAACTTTTTGTGTGACTACTAAAGTGTTATATTGACAATACCTGGATGTACGTGCAATTGCGTCCAGGTTTTTTCTTCAATTTTAAAAGTTTCGCTTGATCGACTGAAATTTGTCGTGTTCATTTTCAGCTTGTACTTCACATGAGAAGGAAGTTTTCCGGAGTCATCAACATCAAATACAAGACCTGATAACCAAAAAATATACGACAAGTGTATAAATTATATTTATGTGTTAGATACACAACTAAGCCCACATATGGCTAACATATACCCAACTAAACCCACTGATTGCTGATCTATACCCAAATAAACCAATCTATGACTGGCTGATACACAAGTAAATCCACCTTATACATTTTTTGTACCTAAATAAGCCCACCTGTGGCTAACTGATACCAAACTAAGCTTACCCAACTAAACCCACCTGTGGCTAACTTATACCAAACTAATAAACCCACCTGTGGCGAACATATACCCAACTAAACCCACCTGTGGCTAACTGATACCAAACAAGTCATTGTCAACGACACATCCCTGTTCGTTCATATTTGAGTGACATATACATTCAAAGCAGATCATGACCGAAATGCACCTGCATATGTACAACACATTGTACTAAATTTGAACAAAATCCATCCATGCATGACTTTGATGCATTTTCGGCCTGAAAATGGCCATCATTCAGCTATTGTTAAGCGGACCATGAAACAAATGAACATATCTATTTGTGACATGATGTACCATGTGTGTGTGAAGTTTGAACTTGATCAATCCAGACATGTCTTGGATACGGATCCAGAACTGAATTCTTTAAAACAAAATGGCCGCCAGTCGGCCATTTCAAACTTGATCGGGAAAAAAAAATGACGTGCATCAAGGTCCTATTATGTTTAATGTATGTACCAAATTTGAACGAAATCGTCCATGCATAACTGAGATCCGGGTTCGGAATGGTGAAAATGTGCGATTTCAATGCATTTTCGGCCTTAAAGAGGCCGCCATTTGGCTATCGTTAATGAGATCATGAAACAAATGCACATACATATTTGTGACATGATGTACCTTGTGTGTGTGAAGTTTGAACTTGATCAATCCAGACATGTCTCAGATACGGATCCAGAACTGAATTCTTTAAAACAAAATGGCCGCCAGTCGGCCATTTCAAACCCGATCAAAAAAATCCGTCCATGCATAACTGAGATCCGGGTCCGGAATGGTGAAAATGTGTGATTTTGATGCATTTTCGGACTTAAAATGGCCGCTATTCGGCTATCGTTAATCGGATCATGAAAAAAATGCATGTGCATATGTCCCATATAATGTGTGATGTATGAGTGAAGTTTGAACTTAATCGGTCCATGCATGTTCGAGATACAGGTGATCACGGACGCACGCACGCACGCACGCACGCATGCACGGACGCACACAGGGCAAAACATAAGTCCCCGTTTTCGCACTACGCCCGAACAGGGACTAACTAAGTCCACCTGTGGCTAACTGATACCAAACTAAGCCCACCTGTCGCTAACTTATACCCAACTAAAACCCACCTGTGGCAACTAATCTATATACACACCTGCAATGACCATCCTACTGCTTTGCCCTCTGACATCATTAGTGTAGTTCAAAAACGATTGTTCATTAGATAAAGGATGGAAGACATCAACATCAAGGTGAGATGATAAAGAATTCACAAAACATGCTACAGTATCCAATAACTCCATGATGTGTCTAATTTTATCCAAATCTGGCAATGAAGTACTGATTATCAACTGTTCATCTCTCGTGAAGTTCACACCAGAAGTGTTTTGCAAAATTGTTTGTACCTGTAAATAAATGAAACATTAGTAAATACCATTTCCCATATTTGGGCATTACATTACATCCTTGCTACACATTATCATATGATAGAACATTACTCTGTTGATTTCCATGGGCCCTGAACCTGCATAAATTCTGTAACAACAAATCATACACTTCCAGTGTTGCGGAGATATGACGTTCAAATAAAAGTATAATCGCATAAACAAACTACAATAAAACACTTAAAGCAGGGGAGTCATCACCTGCGCATGTGTCAGATGGCCATAGCGTGTCATTGTTAACAAACAAGTGTCTACGCTTGGGACTCAATTTCCGTGTGTGTCATGTGGACGACCCTCCCGTTTTAACATAAAGAATCTATAAACTATTCATGATCATCTCAGTGTCATTTGCAGGTTAGGGTCCCAAATGATATGTGTATCAGAGTTGCAGGGTTACAACATTGTATATTCTACACTAGTCGTGCTTTTGACTGAAATCAAACTACTGATTGAATACTGATACTGAATTGAATACTGATACTGAATCGAATACTACTACTGAATCGAATACTGATACTGAATCAAATACTGATACTAAATCGAATACTGGTACTGAATTGAATACTGGTACTGAATTGAATGCTACTACTGAATTGAATACTGATATTGAATTGAATACTGATATTGAATTGAATACTGATATTGAATTGAATTGAATACTGATACTGAATTGAATACTGATACTGAATTGAATACTGATACTGAATTGAATACTACTACTGAATTGAATACTTATACTGAATTGAATACTGATACTGCATCGAATGCTAATACTGAATTGAATACTGATACTGAATTGAATACTGATACTGCATCAAATACTGATACTGCATCAAATACTGATACTGAATTGAATACTGATACTGCATCAAATACTGATACTGAATTGAATACTGATACTGAATTGAATACTGATACTGAATTGAATACTGATACTGAATTGAATACTGATACTGAATTGAATACTGATACTGCATCGAATGCTACTACTGAATTGAATACTAATACTGAATTGAATACTGAATTGAATACTGATACTGCATCAAATGCTACTACTGAATTGAATACTGATACTGCATTGAATGCTACTACTGAATTGAATACTGATCCTGAATTGAATGCTACTACTGAATTGAATACTACTACTGAATTGAATACTACTACTGAATTGAATACTACTACTGAATTGAATACTGGTACTGAATTGAATACTGGTACTGAATTGAATACTGATACTGAATTGAATACTGGTACTGAATTGAATACTGGTACTGAATTGAATACTGATACTGAATTGAATACTGATACTGAATTGAATACTGGTACTGAATTGAATACTACTACTGAATTGAATACTACTACTACTGAATTGAATACTACTACTACTACTGAATTGAATACTACTACTACTGAATTGAATACTGATACTGAATTGAATACTGCTACTGAATTGAATACTACTACTGAATTGAATACTACTACTGAATTGAATACTGATACTGAATTGAATACTACGACTACTGAATTGAATACTGGTACTGAATTGAATACTACTACTGAATTGAATACTGATACTGAATTGAATACTGATACTAAATTGAATACTGATACTGAATTGAATACTGATACTAAATTTAATACTGATACTGAATTGAATACTGGTACTAAATTTAATACTGATAAAGATTTGAATACTGATTGTAAATCATAACAATAATGAACTCCTTGCATGGACATTATCTCACATAAATCCACTACTTGTCTAATATGCTGCTGCAGGGGGTGTAGTTCATTCATTGTTAAAGCAAAGACATATCATATCACACAAGCAAGGACAACAAAGATTGACAATAACAAAAAAATCAGTCCCGTAATACCTCATAAAACATGTTAAATCGGGGGGTCGTCACCTGCGCATGCGCGGGATTGAGTCCCAAGCGACAATAACAACACATACTAAAAACGCATGGGTAGACGCTTGTTTGTAAACAATGATACGCTATGGCCATCTGACGCTTGCGCAGGTGACGACTCCCCCGCTTTAAATATTTTTTTTTAAAGATTAACTGGTGGTGGCAGTAAAAATGCTTGTATATCTTGATACACAGTACTTCTTCTAAATGAAACTAAATGATGAATTGACTGGTTATGAAATAGTCCTATTGTATGCAATCTGCAGAGTCAAAACTGGCAGCCTAAATGCTTCTATGGCTTGTGGCAAAACATACGTTCACACCAACAAAGTTGCACGCATTGTTTTGGTGACCCTAAGAGCTTGTGACAATTGGTTGTTCAAAACTTTTACTAAGACACGCATACCTGCTGAAGTAGCCTATAGAGATCTTGCGTTGAGTTTTCTTCCATAAAGTCCACCACAGGGCGGGAAATGTTCAACCACTTATCAGCCAGTACAGACAACCGTTTAAAAGAATGGAAATATGAACTTGTCTATAGAAAATAAAAGATGTAAGGTTATTGTCAATGAAAGTGATAGCTAATTACAATTAAACAAACTCTGTTTAAATTCAACAATGAGGGGACTTGACAATGTTGTTCAATTCTGTCTGCAATATTTATCCAATAGAGCTCTTTTATACTTGGGACTTAAGGTTTTAATTTGCATGTCAGTTCATGCAGAGTTTGGTTTACAGACATATAACAGGAGGAATAAAAATATTACATGCATCAATAACAATCAACACAATAGAAAATGACATTTCGGAAAAATCTAATGTCAGAGGAAGAATTTCATTAAAAACGTGCTGACGGCAAATGATTACAATAGCTCTGCAGCGTAGTAATTAAAAGTAATTCAATCAGTCATGAGAAAAACAATGCTCACCATTTTAATGACATCATTGACATCTGTTGTATTTGGAGCGTAAGCTATTCGAGCTTTGCCCAACAGAATGGATGACAGTGGCTGCAAATGGGAAAAAAGATTTTCTGACAGTTTAGTGTTAATATTACTCCAGTTTCCCTGATATTCTTCATAATTATTTTCAGTTACGTTGACACCGCATAGCACCATTTGAAAGACATTCCAGGCTTTAAATAACAACTCTACCGGCTTGGTTGGCTGTCTGATACTCTGTTCAATAAACATCTGTTTGGTCACTGTATGATTCAATGGCGATTTAAAGGCTGTATTCTGAGAATTACAAACATTGCTGTCTGTAATGAAGATGTCTAGGTGTTCAGATATAGGTTTAATCCAGTCGAGCTGCTCTTCTAACGTCTATCGAGAAGACAAAAATAAAAAAATATTCACCAAAATTAGAGAGTTGATATCATCATGAAATGAACAAAACTAAGAGAGGTCTACCCAAGGTACATACACACCAAGTATCAAAGCATTTAGGTTCGTAGTTTTCAAGAAGAAGTCGAAAAAGTAACAAGTTGCACGGACACCTACGGTCAATCACTCATATGATAAGCTCCGCTCGACTAAGTCGACATAGGAGCTAAAAATATATAAGAGTAGTTATAAATTAAGAATTGCGGATCAAACAATAAGAATCTCAACTGATATATAGCTAGGCTCTTTGAGATAAAATCTGATCTGATCCACAGTATAGAAGTTGATAATAATAACAGATCAAAGAAAACCTGAGCAATGGTGGTAGATACAGTGGTTTATTTTCTTGGTTTGATTCCCTCATGTTGAACGACACGGACCAAATGTCTGTCATAAAAACTTGAATTTCTTTTTTTACAGTTCAACACTGATCATGGCATTGAAATAAATTTATTTTATCACAATTGGCTATCATCAAATGTGTATAGCATTTTATTAAATGTGAAAATACACCCTCCCAAATCCTACAGGATGTTTTGATGTCACTACGATGCTATGACATTTTATTGATCTTCCGTTTTTACACATAACATGGGTTGGTTATTTATAAGATATCTGTCTTGCCAATGGCCGAACATAACCAAACAGTTCCACAGTTGGGTTGTAATTGATTTTACAGTATGGGGGGGGGGGGGTCATCAAGCCACTGAATCACAGCCACTGAACAAGATTGTCTTAGATTTTAAGAACTATGGTACATGTATATTTATCAATATTTGATGTGAAGCGTTTTCCATTAAAAGTAGTCTGTACAATCAGACTTGTGAGTATATAGTTTCCTGAATCAGCATTGGTCCCTTAGTTTTCACTTTATTGGATGATTATTTTACACATATTATCACAGCCTGTGAGCAAATTTTTAAAAATTACATACTTCTCAGGTTAATTGTGTTTTGTGCACACCCACAGCTGAATTCAAACAGCAACACATGACGGGGATTTATTGTAGTAAAAACAATGAATACATGTAACTTAGTTGATAATTGGTGCAAAACATTTCTATAAACTCATGAATGCCATAACTTTCACTTTTGATTTTTAAGTTACTCAAAATTGAAGTATCGCTGGCAAATTGCGCAGAACGATACCTGTTCAAAAGCTAAATTGAAAATTAGTCAAGACGGTGGTTTATCCCACAGCACCAAAGTACCAGGTTTCACTGAATTTTGATGATTGGTTATTGAGATACCAACGGCAAATTTTAAATCACAATTCATTATGTATAAAGTTATCGTAAAGTTATCAGATTACAGATTAAAATTAAATTTTTGGCAATTAAATTAAATTAAATATTTAACAGTATGGTAGATAAGCTACGCAAACTTGACTTAAATTTGATTAAATATTAATATAAATTATGAAAATAGTGCGGGTTGTCTCAATGTAGGTCCTGTCGTTACAAGTCTGTGTAAAGTTAAAGCGGGGGTGTTGTCACCTGCGCATGCGTCAGATGGCCATAGCGTGTCATTGTTTACAAACAAGCGTCTACCCATGAGCCTTTGCATTTTACGTGTGTTGTTATTATCGCTTGAGACTCAATTCCAACATGTTCACAGGTGACGACCCTCCCACTTTAAATTAAAGTTGTCACTACGTTGATACCACGCACACACGGATGCACTAACCACAAAAACTCCCAATGTGATCTTCACACCCAGGAGTCAAAGCGAAAAAAAAATGTTCAAAATACTACCAGCCATATATATTTCATATAGCATATGGAATATAATAAATAAAAAAGTATTTTGAATTGAATACTGTTTTCATCTACCAATAAAGCTTACTAACACTACAGAATTAACCTATATAACAGTATGCATTATATGGGTGACCTTCCTACAGCTGACACATTTGTTTTGATTCTGAAAACAGAGTGTATAAAAATACCAGAGAACACAGACAGCCAGATGCTACATATTAAAAGGATTATTTGGTCTACTAAAAAAACAAAAAACAAATATTAAATGCTAATAGTGCAATGACAATGTTTTTCCTTCCTACTGTGCATAAGTCATATATGATTCAGTCAGCATTTGTTAACGATGGCGATGTACGCTTTCAAACACCGACAGAGGAATACCCCCCCCCCAATTTTTGAAAATATGAAATAATCATTTTTTAATTTGAATTCTCATAAAACTGACAGAATTATACTGACAGATAATATCATCAGCTGATACTACCTGTTCGTAGAGATAGTCGATACGATTGACGTTGTGACTAGCAATATCCACGTGAGTGAGTGAGATAATACAACCAATGACGCAACAAGTACTAACCAGCTCTATGAATAAGTAATATCAAGGTGATAATATTTTTATAACATGACTTACTCTAAGTGACTGACTGTGCTTACAAATCTTTAGCTAATTTATGCTAATTTATGCATGAAATCCAGGCGCATTGGTGGACATTCATTTTTTGTTACGAAAAACTACATGTACGGTTGGCAAAATTGACAAAACCCTTCTGTGATTTGTTCTCAGTTTACACCTTCTTAGCAATATGTTTTTTTTTAATAAACTGTCAGTTGTCGTCATTATGCGATTATTATTTCACCATCATTTAGCGATATAGTTGTTATCTTGTCGAAAATTCTTATATCACAATGATAAAATCATTTCCTTTTCTCTGCGTACTGTTGGAGCACAGAGACTGATGAAGTATATCATGCATATCGGCAAATTTATTTATTAATATTCATACATGTACTACATTTTAAACATGATGACTGTGAATGATATGTACTATAGTTAAATGATAAAGGTATATTAATATAAGGTTATTACGAAAATACCTCAAAGCATGCACGAAGACAGTACATCGGCAGTATCGACCGACGCGCAGTGGAGGTCAATGCGATGACGTACCATTTGAGTGCAAACTTCACAATATCTTCGTAATAACCTTATTATTATACATCGTTTCCTTCAAAGGATACATCATGGGAATACCGTAATCCAAAAAGTTTCTGTGGATTCTGGTCAAACCCTGGTGGCAGCCATATTTGTTTTTATTATTAGAGGACACTTGTGTGCGTAATCATTCCATATTTGGAATTAGCATTCCCTAATACGGTAGGATGAAAATATCCTGTAAAATACCGCAAAATTACGACACGCTGTAACTTATGGCGTATGTATAAGATGTATAATAATATTATATATTACAAATAATGACAACTTTCTTACTTGTAAATAATGTGCATTGGAGAGTACTTTTTGCATTGCAGGATTTGAGGTGATGTCTATCTTAGTATCAGGGTCAGTTAACATCTGTTTCAGAATACTTGGGTCAGAAGACAGATGATCTGCAAAAAAAAATACACAGTTAACTTGAGAAACTTGAATTCTTTGCCGACACAGGGTGTACTAAACAGACATTTTTGAATTTGCATTCGCAGGAGAATACTGGGAAGAAACAAAATTTTAGAAGAAAGGCGTTTTTCAAATTGAGAAATAAACACACAGCTTTTCAGTTGAATCAGCTCAGCTGTCTCACTTGATTTTCTTCCAGTATACTAAATTATTCATGATTTGATTTTTTTGATTTTGCACAAAATAAACCTCAACAATTTTTTCAAAAATGTTGATTTAGACTTATAAGCAAAGTGATATCATTTCCGTACAGTCCAAAATTATCGAAGAAATTTTCTAAAAAGTGCAAAATATTGCATCAAATTGTTGTTGAGGAAAATGATGTCATTTAAAAAAGGTCAACAGGGTCATGACAATAAAATAAAGTACACTGTACCTGACATATGTTGCGTGTCGATGGCCTTCATATTCTCCCGAATTTCTGTGATGACAGACTCCACATTTTTGGCATCAAGCAAGGAATCATTTGAGTTTGAAATGTAATGAATAAATTCTAAAAGTTGAGGCACTCTAAAAGAAAAAAACAAGAGAAAATAAAAAAAAATCTTGATACATTTATATGCATGTACACAAGCACTAAAACACAATGGTTTGAAAATTATTTTTATTTTGTATAGTTCATGGCTGAAAAAATCGTAGTACATTTCCCTTTTTAACCATTTCATCACCAGTTCCCTTTTTTTGTCGTCACAAAATAGTACTGTTTATAGTCTGCACTTTCCTTTAGAAGATTTTAGGATTCGGAAGAAGGAAACAATTTTTGAATTCTTTATATTTTGGCCAATATTCAACTAAAAATGCCCACCAGAGTAAACCATAATCCTAGGGGGAGATCACAGAATCATTGTATCCATAGAAACAACATTGGGTAACCCCACTTTTATTTGCTCTTTAATAGTCATTAAATTTTTATGGAACTTTTCACTCGGCAAAATATCAAAAGTTTGTAGTGTTTTTTTCAAAATTTTTGCTCATTAGGAGCGTCCACTAATTACCCAGGCTATTACATAGACTTGACTAACACAATTAAATTTTATCATTTCAATAAATTGTTTTCAATTTCACTGTAAATTTGTTTCTCAGTCCTTGAACTCTTTAAATCACTTTTCCAATTAAACTTAGTACAGTGCCCTCACATGACCAAAATGTTCTATTCAAAACAGTCACATTTGTTTCATAAAAGACTCCCTTAATTCAAATTGGTGATTAGTCAAATTGTTAAATATGCAAATTTGTAGTTATGTAATCCATGCTATGAACAATATTTCAAGATTAGTTGCCATACCAACTGATTTTATTATTTTTCACGGTGATCACAATAATCATTGACAGGTGTTTCGCATTTACCATATTTACCGTATTAGAAATACACATCTTACATACATAACAAGTGTGTTTATACGAACAAAATAAGTCACATTTTGATGATTCAGGATACAAGAATGCAATTTATGGTTTATGTAGACTTTTTTTGGAGATATGCGCTTCTATTCGAACAGATACGGCAATTGCAAAGCAAGAATGCATCTTTAAGTTGATGGTGTTTTACTTTAATTTTTGTTTGATTTAAACAAGCACAGTTCAAATGCAGAGTTACGAGACGGTGATGAAATAATGTCATTTGCAATTTGACCTTGAGGTCAAGTAAACAGTTATAATTTATGTGAAAACACTCATAGTTCATAGAAACCATTTTTCATATTGAAAGCTGGTTGTCACCATGGTATCACATGTATGTAATACATTTAATCCAAATAAATATTAACAATTAATCAAATATAATGCATCAAGTAGAGTAACAAATCGTTTCATCACAATTTTTTAGTGGAAAACAAATTTATTTGCATTTTCTTTTTTTTCATCTACATGAAACAAAACACACAATGATTATTGGACTTTGAAGCTGAAACAAATATATAGTAGATATTAATGCTTGAACTTGACCTTGCAGAGGTTCAAATATTGACATCGATTGGGAAATTCCAAACATCTGTTATTTTGCTGATTATTCAGAACAAAGATGTCAAGAGCATGTCAGATTTCAAATAAATATAAAGAGAACACATACAAAATATACTCATGATATACCGCCATTTCCTATCACTTCCCTTCTAAACAGGAGTATTCTCTTGAATGCTGTTGACTGTTTAATATACTGTAAAACCATTTAATTTCCCTACTTTGATGTTTGAGCCTTTTCATTCTGTTTCAAGTTGGCCACAAAACATCCAGTTCTATTTTTATTTTATGTGTTCACATAGATTTTTAATTTAGCAAATTTTACTTATCAGCGAAAAAATAACGAAATTAAAACGCAGTGAATAATTAATGTCTTTACAGTAACTGTGTTGAGTAACAATGCAGAAAACATGCAAGGACATTTTTATAAAGTACATGGCTAGCAAAAATATTTATTTATTTAAAGTGGGTTGTATCAACTGCACATGTACTTTGAGGAGATCTGATTTTTAGAGATCTGCTAAAAAGCCAGCAATGCATTTAAATGCCAGCTAGTAATTATAAAACTAGTTGTTAAGATATTGCGATTTGCTCGGTTGAAGTATTTTCTGTGACATTACTAGTTTAGGATTGCGATAAATGTGTCCATTTATTGCATTTGAAATGAACTGTATATAGCGAATAGTGTGTGTGTGGGTATGAAGTACTAAGGTGCACGTATACAAACCACAGAACAGTAAACAAATGCAGTTACGAGAATTTAACGAAAATAAAAGAAAACGATATACAGCATGTACTTAGTAACCAAGTAGTGTTATGTATTACAGTTGATGTCAAGGTTTACATCAGGAGATGTTGATTCACTTTGTTTGAATAGTGTCTTCTATATTAATTGATGTTATTGCAGTGATAACAAAGATAAACCAATATTGCTCCCAGGGTATTGAAATGTTGCAAGGGAAATTGACAGTGTTGCAGGGATAACAAACATTACCAATATTGCTCCCAGGGTATTGAAATGTTGCAAGGGAAATTGACAGTGTTGCAGTGATAAACAAACATTACTAATACTGCTCCCAGGGTATTGAAATGTTGCAAGGGAAATTGATAGTGTTTTCTCTGTTCCTGCTGTAATACCCCGCCGTGTCACATATCTAATATCATTACTTATGTCCGGATTTGACAACTCAGCATCTAAAATATTAGTTTCAAACAACCTCTGAGATGGTTTTTTTCACAGATGTTTTGGGAACAGTATGTGAAATATTAGATGGCTTCAATTACTGAAAATGGGTGAATTTAAAAAGATACGTCTTAAACATATTCAAAAAATTTCAAAGACTTTCAGCTGATATGAAAGATTCGGCTTCCAATTTTATTTTTTTGTTTGAATTTTATTTTTAATGTTTTTTAATTGTGTTTTAAAATGCTTTGATTCAGAAAGATTTTTCCTGAATGTTCTATATGACAAAAATATGTATACAATACTAGAATAAATCTGATCAGCTCAGAGCAAACATTTAAAGGCAATCTTTAAAATTTGATATGCTATCACGCATTCAAGCACCCATACTATTAAGCACAATAAATAATTTCTAATTAACTAATGTTATGCTATTTTCAATTGCGACATCGACTATTTGGTGTGAATTTTTTCAGCAGGTGGAAAATAAAGATTCAGACAATCTAAAAAAAAATTTAAATGAGAATAAATTGTGTACATCAGAAAAAAGATTGTGAAGAAAGTACGCATGTGTTTTCCCTCAAAAAACTTAATTCACTGTAAAAAAAAATTGACACTGAAATGTGTAATGCATGTTTAAACATTTTAGGCATACTTAGTATGAGCCTGGGAGATGATTTTATTTATTTTTCTGTTATGGCCTACATAAGATAAATTTAAAATGAATCGTTGCAAATTATTGTTGTTGCCGAGTAGTTTTCAAAATGAAGGCAAATCATTCATGGCTGCCAATGTGACCTCGCAGTTGAATACTATTTCCAATTTTAAAACTGTGGAATACTTTATTTTAGCTGGAATTAATTTTCTTTGAGAAGACTTTTGGGTGTTTTGTATGGAATTTATTTTCACTGATTTTTGTTGAGTTGAATGTGGAATATAGGGAAAAAAGTATATTCGCTGGATTTTATTTTCACAGAATCATTCTTTCAGCGAAAATAAATTCCAAGCGAAAATAAAGTATTCTACAGTACGGAACCATGCATGCAACAGGTGGTTTCTAAAACATGTGTTTTGACAGTCAAATTCCATCACTTTAACAGCATTTTTAAGATCATTTAGACATCAAGTATTCAAATAGCTTAATAATCATAATACTTCCAGAAAATTTTGAAAATACTTGTTTCACAATTTTAGGGGGAAACAACTCTACCTGTTTAAGGGAGAACATGAGATGATATTTCTGTTTTTAAGATGCATGTAATAGCAAAAATTATTATAAATGAACAAATTAAAAAATATACAATTAATAAATGAATAAAAACAAAAGAAAGAAATGATCAAAATACATACATATTAAATAAATCAAAATTAAACTCTGTGGAGTTCCCATGTGAATATAAGCAATCATTAGAATTTGATAAAAAAATATCTGGAAAATAGAACACAAGTCCTACAAGGTGACAAGGAAATGGACCTAAAACTAATCATGTCTTAACAAATTATTATGCAAATCAGCTATTTAATATGCACAGATGGGGCACATTTGCTAGGTTTACGTGACAGCATTTTATTGGAGCCCTATGGCTCGTGCCAGCAAAAATAGCCGTGTATACGTGTTTGACTTGAGCCAAGTTTGGCTCCAATATACCCCTGGGGTTGAACTCTGATATGGTTTAGCCCCATTATGGCTCAACTGTGTACTAGTATACGCATCAGGCCCAACTATTGGATTCCAAATCATTGCCTCAATCGTCTTTTTCAAGTAACCTTTCATTTATGGCGGAGACAACCTTGAAAGAACGACTGAACGATCCAATGGAATTACTTTGAAGAAACTTTTTAAAAACAGCAAAGACAAAAATCGTAGAAGCGGTCACGGTACAGCGACGTGTTCCTACTAGGTTTAGATTGACAACTGTTACACATACCACAACAGTTACAAAATGCAGAATTGAAAATGGTAATTTTGCAAGACAATAACTTAAGCGAATAAGCTGTAACACATTTTAGTTGCGTTGTTTCCTGTTTATTTGAGATACTAGTACCATGGAGCATTGAGCTAGAAAGAAATACTATAGTACCTAAAAACACCAGAGCATTGTCTTTTCTACCTCAATGCTCAGACTCATGACTGTTTTGTTTTTTCTCCCAACTCAACAGAATCATGCGATGTAAAGAAACAAGACACGGCACCAAATCGTCTTCAGCCATTTTTTTTTCCACTGTTTCGTTTGGCTCTGGTCGAACTGAATTGAACTTAGATCTTGGCTCTCATTCGGCCCGCCCGTATAAACGCATTGGAGATAATATCCTGTTAATCAATGGGAGGAGCAGTAGTTCGGCTCCGATAGAATGCTGCCGTGTGAACATAGCAATTACCCCCAAGGTATCTAGGTAGCAGATTTGTTTAAAATTCGTTCAGAAATGTTTTGCTAACACAGCCTGATATGAGATAATTAATATGCAAATTAGCTACTTAATATGCATGGAAACATGGCTTCAAAAGTAATCATATCTCAAAGTACCCGTGCTTGTGTATCAAAATCCAGGTTTTTGCTTACCTTGACAGATGGACAGTAATGCACACACTGACACAAATACACCAAACTTATAATCTCCCTAAAAATAAATAAATGATCACTTACTTTGAATTTGAATAATCTGGAATACCATACGGATCGCTGCTGACAGGTGGACAAAAATACTGTAAAACTGGGATTAATCCAGCTGATGGAAGAGCCACACCTTGGCCATATTCTGCAATTAAAATGAAGAAAAAAATCAAACTTGGGCAAGATTTTGAAAAGATGAATACTACATGTGTCTCTGAAATAATTTGATAAAAAGTTGTTTTTTAAGGTCATCAAGGCCATACAGATTTTGTTATAAAATATTTATACTGAGGAATAGCGTTTCTTAGTCACATAATTAAAAGATGATTTTCAGCTCACAGCGACATCCCAAATTATGTGTAAAATCATCGTTAAAACAGGTCAAACTATGGTTATAACGTGGCGTCACAACAACACGTGGTCTTCGTCAAATACGAATATTTGTTGGTAATTTACGTGCCTAATAATGTGATATACACATTTGATGGGGGACAATTTTGATGATGTAAGAATATCTCGTCGCCACATTCCTCTACGAAAAATTGGTATTTTGACAATGAACTATAAAAACAAAGAGAAATTAAAGTTCAAAATCAAATCATTAAATTTCTGCGGCATTTGATCCATGTCTTTCACGCAAGACTCAAGATCTCGCAATGAACGAAGAATTACCTACTGTAAAATGACTAATTTTCACTGGGTTTAAATTTCGCTGATTCACCATTTCAGGCATATTCAGTGGATTTTAAATTCACGGTTTTATCATTTAGATAATGTGTTCTATGCTAAATGTTACATATTCACTGGGTTTTATTTTAGCGCATTTTCCAGTCAGCTAAATGAGCAAAATTAAAACCCAGTGAATAATTAATCCTTTTACAGTATACAAAACAATGGAATACAAACATTTAGTTATCTGTAATTCAGTCAACAATTATTGCGAACAATGACAGAATGTTTTCAATTCCCATACCTTGCCTTCCATTTCATTACCAGCAAGAAAAAAAAACACATCAGGTTAAGCCATAGGAAGGCTCAATAACTTTTTAATGTATCTAATAATATTTTCCAGCCTGAGTCACATGACCAAGACACACAGACATATTTTAATAGATATCATAACATTAATGCCGTACCTGACGGTCTTGGCACCTCTTGCTGCGTACTTCGGACTACGCTCAAAACAATAAATATAATAAGTGGTATGAACAATTCAAATAAAACTGTAATCTGAAATAGAACAATTTTTAAATGTAAAATATTGAAATCTATATATATTGCAAATTATTTTTTAAAAAAAATGAAAATGGGGTAATGCATCTGCTGGTTCATGCACATATCAACTCCTTGTTTTGAAATACAAATACTGTGGAATACTTTAAATTTCGCTGGAATTAATTTTCGCTGAAAAGGCTTTTTGGGCATTTTGTATGGATTTTATTTTCACTGATTTTTGATGAGTTTAATGTGAAATATAGGGAAAAAAAGTATATTCGCTGGATTTTATTTTCACGGAATCATCCCTAGAAAATAGCGAAAATAAATTCCAAGCAAAAATAAAGTATTCTACAGTATTCATGACAACAATTCTACCCATATTTTAATCAATATTCTAATTCACTTGGCAATCAGGTAAGAGACTGGAGTTGTGATCGAGAAAGCAATGAAACATACTCCATATCAGATATGATACGAAATACGAATCCCAGCCATCACCATCAGTAAATGAATAAAGGTTTCATCCAGGGCAGGAGGTTAAACAGTTTTTTCTTAATTGGGAGACTTCCCTTCTTATTTCCACACAAAGAGGTCTTAACAAGCCTCAATGAGTTTTCTATGTCTTTGTTTTCAAATACATAAAGATTAAGAATAGGCATGGCTATAACGAAAACAAAATTACGTTTCTGATCAGTGTGTGCAGCACCAACAAAAGTGCAAGCAATCTTTGTTTTTTTTTGTTTACTTCCCCACTGCACAGTTGAATATTTAAGCTCAAAAAAAAAATGATTAGAAGGGCAAGTACAGCTATATGTTATGGTCATATTACATCGTATTCTCACTAATCCTGTAAACAATAATATTTTCTTGGTTCATGTGCTCTTCTATTGAAGATGCACTTCTAACAAATGTGTATGGTTCTGTAAAAAAGAAATTCTTTTAAACTGATTTCACAGTGCAAAATGAATTTCTTATAAACAGTCTTTCATTCCTAATTTCACAGCGCAAAATAAATTTCTTTTAAACAGTCTTATTCCTAATTTCACAGTGCAAAATGAATTTCTTTTAAACAGTCTGTTATTCCTAATTTTACAGCACAAAATAAATTTCTTTTAATCTGTCTTTTTTTATAATTTCACAGTGCACAATAAATTTCTTTTAAACTGTCTTTTATTTATACAATTGCAAAATAACTAAACTAAAACTAAGATTTCAGTGAAAAAACAAAATCATACAATATAGGTGTTGTTTGCTTAACCCCCCCCCCCTCTCTCATCTTTCCTATAGAGGTCACTAGGGCAAGTACTCTGTCTGACCATGTCAAGCAAAGGTATTAAAAATCACACACCTTCCTGTGAATGCAATGCAATTCCTAATGTCTGCTTTTTAATACATGCGTGTGCCTGCATTTAAAGGTGTTTACCAGTCAAATACTGCTTTGTACCAAGCTTTATAACACTACAATACCCGATGTCAAGCAAATGGCAAGGAAAGCAAGTAATTGGAAGGTTGACCCTTCAGACACCACACCTACATGTATTGCCGTACCCTGGATGCATACTTTGAATAAGAAATCCCCCATTGTCAAAATTCTGCTGTTGTTATTTTTGTTTTGTTTTTTACGAAAATAACAATAGCTATTTTTGACCATGAGTTCAGACAATCCATATATAGGGACAATACTGATTGACATTAGATAGAATCATGAGTAAAGAGAAACAATCAAGTCGTATCATGACATGACAGAATTCCCGCTGTTTAACAGTAAACAATGAAACACTATTTTGAATCAGAACTTAACCAAATAGACATACATGCAAGTACACGTAAGTGTGAAATATAGTTGTAAAGTTTAATTGCAATCAGTCGAGGCATGTCAGAGACATGACTCTGAAACAAAATCAGTCATTATTACAAATTTCTATCATTTGGCCATTTTTAATTCGATCTGAAACAGTATATGGTACCTTATTTTCTATGTATGTATCAATTTAAAATTCACACATTTTCTTACAAAATTATTTACACATTTGACTTTATGGTGTAAAAATTATTAGGGTTGAAGTCAAGATCTTCATTTTTATCTTTGTTGTGATTGTTTTCAATTGTACAAAAACTTTTGACGCAAAGCAGCTTCAGTCGTGATTCTTTGAACTGAAACAAGGTCATCTGATCCGACAGGTCAAGTCCTGTTATTAACCAATCAGAATGCCGTGTCGGATGCAATTCTCTGAGAATTTCTGATTATGTCGAGGGTAAATTGAGTGTGGAAGTATTTAACACCTTTCGCAGCTGTCAACAGATCGTGTCAAAACATAGTTTTATACTCGTTCACATCTCATTCACAATAGTTACCATAGACACTAATTATTCAGAAACGTAAAAACTATGTTCGATGGCATTTCAGAAGCTACTTGCTTGAAGCTACAGAGATATAGATAACTTCTGTATTCCAACATTGGGTTCATTGTGAGTAATCATGGAACAAAGGAGTACGAACAATGTTGCGTTGTTGCGAGTATTGGAGGCCTATTTAAAATACATTCAAGAAGCTCGGCAACTAATATTTGTCTGCTATTTGAGATGCACAACATGAAGCATTGTGAGCCACATTATTGAAGTTTATAATACTCAAAGAAAATAAATGTAATTGTACATTCTGGGGTTTTCAGACTAATTTACTTGGGAGCATCTGTTCTCTACCATAAGTTCAATTTAAATCTGATTTCTTAAAAAATCAGAAAATGGCTAATACGTAATCACTATGAACGGTTTTCTACATTACATTATTCTCGTCTGTGGGTTACCCTCAGACCATCCAAGTACCAGATTTCACTGAAATGCAAGGAGAATGCATATTTATGCAAATTAGGTAATCAGTATGCTCGAATTTCAAACCAAAACTAATCAAGTCTTTAGCATTGTCATCGGGCATTTATATACCAAGTCTGATTGAAATGCAATAATTGTTTTTTTGAGATACGTGTATAGGTGGAAAATTGACTAATTATTATGCAAATTAGGAACTTAATATGTAGGCACTTCAACCCCAAATTAATCATGTCACATATAGGCACCTATACACCAAGTTTCAATACAATGTGATGAATAATTCTTGAAAAGTTGGAGGGAAAGCTGAAAATTATTATGCAAATTAGGTATTAATAATTATTAATATACACGTTTTTAAACCCAAAACTAAATGCATTCTTTAAGAGCATTTATGTAGCAAGATTCATTGAAATGTGATGATTATTGGTACTACTTTTCATATGCACAAATTTTAAATCAAAACTGATCAGGTCTACGCATTGTCATATTGTAGTATTAAGTACCAAGTTAAGTACCAATGAAAATTAGAAGATCATTACCAGAGTTAGAAAAGTTGAAAATTGATCTATGATTATGCAAATTAGGTAATTAATATGCACATGAATTAACCCTGAGTATCTATATACCAAGTTTCATTGAAATCTGACCAGCAGTTCTTGAGATACTGGTGAAACAGACATACAGACAGAGTAACTCTAAACACTCCCATTGTATGTGAAGCACTTACATGCCAACCACAATCATCAGCAATGAAACACATTTTACACGAAAATTTTAATAAAAAATATCTTTATTTTCAAGTTTAAATCCTCTTTCGATGCCCAGTAAATGACAAAACACAATTTGTTATGAATGTCTGAAAATAAGGTGTGGGTTTTTACCCAGGGAGGGGGCTTATGACTGGGAAAGTATCGTATAATGTGTTTCAACTGGGTAATTAAGGTTGGGTAGATTTAAGAATGACTGCAGTGTTTGTCCAGCATTGAACACAATGAGTTACAAAGCTTCCATTAAATGGATTTTATAGTAGGACTATACAACTCTTAAACATTTCATTTAAATTTTTACTATCACGGGGGGTTTTCCTCCGGTCATTTACCCCACTTCCAGACCATCCTGACCCCCTATTAAGATTAATTAAGATCAGCATTGTCACAACAATAATACCGGCCAGACGATCACTGCACTCCACTTTTGGAATTTTGTTTGACCCAAACCCAGGTGCTCTCAAGGCCTCCTGTTTAATTGTTGTGAATAGAATAGAATAGAATAGAATAGAATAGAATAGAATAGAATAGAATAGAATAGAATAGAATAGAATAGAATAGAATAGAATAGAATAGAATAGAATAGAACACCATAAAAAAAATGTGACATATTTACATGTATTTTATAATAGTTATATAATACATGTAGTTTTATAATAGTTTTTTTGGGGGGTTTTCTTTGATAATGTAATGTTGTTTTGGTCGTTCATTATTTGTATGAATTATTCATGGATGCATATCTAGGAATTCATTTGTCATTTTGCATATATGGTACAGTCTTCAATTGTGTTCACACATTCTATTCTGTAGTGCGATTTTAGGTCCTTGATGTCAACCTACTTTAATATTCAGTTTGTGGCAACTCATTCTAAGTCACGTAAAGAACCCTTTTTCTGTCATCAAGTTTCTATAAATAAGTTTCTTGTTAAATGTTGTATAATGTACATGTATGTATAATTTTTTTCAATTTATTGTCGGTTTTTTTGATCATATCTTCCACCAGTCACATAAAATGCACACTCTATTAATAGAGCAAAATATTGCACCAATTTTTCTCTTAAAGCGAGAGGGTCGTCACCTGCGCACGCGTGGAAATTGATTTCAAAGCGACAATAACAACACATGCTAAAAACAAAGGCTCATGGGTAGACACTTGTTTGTAAACAATGACACGCTATGGCCATCTGATGCATGCACATGTGACGACTCCCCAGCTTTTATAGGCTGGTAGAAATGGGGGCACACGTTCTGCTTACGTTTCATTGTGACCATACGTCCTTCACTCCTGCTGGTGTTGTTAACGGCTTTGTCCTAACAAGCTATACTTTGAAAATAGGTTATATTTAATGGAAATCTCCCTCAGTGCAGCAATGGACCCGGTTATTGTATAACTAGCGTCTTTGTTGCCATTTT